CCAACACGCTAAGCACAACTACAACCAAAAGGAGAAGTGGTAATACCAGACACTGGACACTGGGAGGGGCGTTTCCCAGTGTTCCAACGTGGGGTGCGTGCTACCGGGTAGTGCTTAGGCACGGAGAGGACTGGTACAGTTTGGGAAGAGCCTGCTGAACCTCCCTAGGGTTACTTCAAAGGGCTGCTCACTCTTTTCTTGAGAACTGTTTGGTTCAAAGATTACCAGGTGGAGGAAAAATCAACAGCACAGTATTCAATTTCATATTCAAATTTCACTTAGACGGATGGATAAATGTTCTGTGACAACATCGAATCCTTCCCTCCCTTCCATCCTTTCTTCGCTCTCTCCCTTCATGCAGTCTGTTCCCATTCTCCCTTTTGTTTTTTCCTTTCTCTGTCCTCCTCATTCTCTTTCTGCTTCCCTCCCACATTACCTTCATCCTTTCCTTCCTCCCCATTTCCTTCATTTTTCATCTTTTCTAGACTTCTATACCAAATAAAAATCTCAGTTTCCCCTTGAAGTTTTCTTGTTTTAGCTTTCTTTTTTCAGATTCGATGCCTGTCACAGAATTTACCCACCGGAACAACCAGCATCCCAGGTGTATTGTTCCATTCCTGGGGGATGCAATTCTTTTTCAAAGGCCAAATGTGCACAAAAGGGCTCCTGTAGCCAACACAGAGTGACTTTTTCTCCAGAAGTAGAAACTAAATCAGTGTTATGCTCTGGGATGCTATTTTGGCTTCTCTTTCCTCATAACTAAATTACACGTTGTAGACCAACAAGAAGCCGTCTGCTGTCCAAGCCTGGGGGCCTGGAAGGGTGTTCAGTGGAGTGAGGCCTTAGGCTGCACTTCCTGTATGCCCTCTGAATGTGGAGCAGGGAGAAGGCAGGACTAGCAGAGGCTGAGAATATAGGATTAAAAGCAAATACTGGGTACGTAGGTGTATAGAGAGAATATGTATACCCATTGGCCCAGAGCTGCTGCTGCTATTGCTCCTTGCTTGGACTACCTTTTCAGGATAAGGAAGCGCTCCTATCTCCATTCCTTTGGAGGGCAGGTCCTGAAACGGAGGTTAATTCTTGTTCAGCCCTCTCTTCTGTTTTGCTTGCTGCCACACCAAAGGTCTCCTTTCTATTCACCACAATTGGATACTGCCCAGTTGTGCTGGGCCAGAAAAATGAGACCTTGTTGGAAGAAGGGCTTTATGCCCTAAAGGCTTATTCCTGTTTCCATAGAAACAAGCCAGAGGTGGTACCCACCAGTTGGGGTCTTAAAGCCACAGATATCTTATCTAGAGACTCTTGTCATATGACAAATACCCCTCAGGAAAGAGGAAGTTTGTTCTTTATGCCTGCATGTATGTCTGCACACCACCTGTGTGCCTAGTGCCCGAGAGGCCAAAAGAAGGCAGATCCCCAGGACTGGAGTCACAGAAGGTTGTGAGCTGCTCTGTGAGTACTGAGAATTGAACCCAGGTCCTCTGTAAGAGCAGCCAGTGCTCTAACCACTGAGAAATCTCTCCAGTTCCCTCAGCAGTAATTTTTTGATACAGAATTTACTTCATTGCTCCGAGGACTTTTGATGACGCTTTGTTCATTTCCAGTGGCAGCCCTTCATTCTTTAGAATTCTTCCTCTTCCTCTTCTAACATTTTCTTCTCTTGAAACAGTATCTTAATGCACAGCAATCTAGCCTCCATTTTGCCATGTAGCAGAGAATGCAGAGAATGGCCTTGAACACTTATGCCTCCTGCCTCTACCTCCTGAGTGCTGGGATTACAGGTGTGCACCACCAGGCTCAGTGCTGGGGATGAAACCCTGGGCCTCGCTCATGCTGGGAAAGTGTCTCCCAACAGAATTAATCTACTCACAGAATTCCTCTCCCTCTATCCTTCCCCTCCTCTTTTCCTTCTTCCGTTCTTCCTTCCTTCTTTCTTTTCTTTCCTTCCTTCCTTTTTTTCCTTCTTTTTTTCAAAACTTTCACACCTTGTGGAAAATCATGGTTAGTTCATGGCAGTCAGGTTAAAGATTCTGAACAGATACTATGTAACTTATGACATTTATTAGGTTTTACACAGTTACACTTAATTTATTAAAATTTGTTAGTAAAAGCTTAGGAGAAAACTTAGTCCCAGCTAGAGAATTATAATTAAAAGAGTAAAGGGCCATGTAGTAAGCAGAGGTTTGGAGGCCTGGTTGAGACTTCAGCTCACTTTGGACAGTTCCACAAAGATACCATATTCCTTCCCCACTTCTCTCTCTCTCTCTCCAGAGTCTCACATGGCTGAGGCTGACCTTGAACTCCCAGTGTACCTGGGATTACCTTGAATGGATCATCCTTCTTCCATCTCCCAAGTACTTGGGTTACAGGCCTATACCACTGTTAATGTTAGTTTTACAAAACTGTGTTTGTTTCTCAGTTTCTCTCTTAACTGGGCTATCACACAAAAATTGAGACATTTTATTATATTATTTTAACAAGCTTCACAGCACAAGAACTGAGCAATTTTAACTCTATTCTTAACCCTCTAAGCTAATTTGGCTTTCTCCCAGCATACATCCCAGAGATAGTTACACTTTGTAGCTTTCCTTGTTGAGCGCTCTCTCTCTCTCTCTCTCTCTCTCTCTCTCTCTCTCTTCTGACCCCTCTTGAACATCTGTGCGTAGCTGAATCTCTTATTTCTTCTTCTGACTCCCCTCCCCTGACTGGCAAGAAGTCCAGCAGTGCTCAGTGATTGGCTGTAAGTTTCTCTTGCTCAGCAATTGGCTGTAAGCTTCTTCATTGGCAAATCAAGGGGCAATTGGGGAATGGTGCTTACACAGCATTGAGACAGGAGATGCTCAGAACAAGGATTGCAGCCAGATATGGGGGTACAGAAATCAGCATTTGAATTACACAATAACCTTATATCTACACACAGCATACCTGGTTTTATGTGGTGACAGGGATTGAACTTGGGGCTTTATGCAAGGTAGGCAAGGACTTTAGCAGCCTTATTTATTTGAGACAAGCTCTCACTGTTTAGTTCCAGCTAGCCCTGAACCCTTCATCCTCTTCCTTTAGCCTCCCACAAGTGAGGCTTACAGATAACATAGTGCTGTCCATGCCTGACACCACAAATCTTTCTCCCTAACTAGCTCCAACTGGTGAACAGAAGGACAGGCTGGGGCTGGGACAAATGCACCCTGAATCTTTGCTATTAAATACCAACCAGAAGCGAGTCCCTGGAAAAACAGAACTTGGCCCAGTTGATGACTATGTAGGAATGATAAGAGGAAATCTTATTCGCAGGAGCTCATCAGTAATAATGTCAGAAGGGAAGGAAAAAAAAGAAGTTGAAAAAATAAAGGTGACTACCTTTACCAAACTCTAGCACTGTGCCAGGCAAATGCACGAGCATTGTCTTGTGAGAACAACCATTTCTGAGACTTTCTCCTTCCGAGAGATGCTGTTGTTGTGTGGCTTGTCCCATGAGGGCAACATGGGTACTTTCCAGATGCTGGACACTCAGCTAAGCCTTTACAGATACTCACACAAGTGTTTTCTTCATTGACAGTCACTGAGGACTTCGCTCTAGCCTCCACACCTCAAGCTTCTAGTGCCTCCCAACAGAGCCAACTTGAGGACTGAAGCCTTAGCTCATGGGCCTTTGAAGGATATTCAATCCGAATTATGCCAGGGAAGGTGTGTATAGCGCCTGGACCCTGGGTAAAGGGTGACTCATATTCAGGAAGGATAGATTGTAATGGCATAAGACTTCATCTTGCTGCTTAGAGTGATTTGTGGTTATGATGTGGATCTTTTATTGTATATGATGCTTTTGGACTTTAGCTGCCTGCAGCTAAACAGAAGAAAAGGAAAGCTGCGCAAAGACGGACAGCTGTCTCTAGACTCATCTGTCCTTTCCAGACCTTTGCACCTCACGGGCACCTCGGATGCTCTCCTCCTCAGTAACTGGCCATCCTTTCTTCTCCAAATGCTCGCCAGATCTATGTTGGCCCCTCTGCTCATTCATTCTCCACCTGCTTTTTTGTTTTGTTTCTCTGAGCAGCCTTGGTGGTCCTGGACTCGCTTTGTAGACTGGCCTCTAACTCACATTGATCGGCCTGCCTCTGCCTCCCCCTGCCTCCCCAAGTGCTGGGATTACAGGTGTGTGCCACCGAGCCAGGCTTTCGGTACTCTTTTTGAGTTATAGTTTCCCAGAGCAGATCTGCTGCTGCTGCTGAGGCGTAACTTAAAGCCTTCCGATGCCAACCAGCCCCCCACATCCAACTCCCCCCTCCACTGCACTGTTTTTCAATAAAGCCCACGTTCCTTCCTTTGGTCTTTCCCCCTTGTCTGGCTCTAGGCTGCTCTACCCCTTCTCATGCTCACAGTTTCCTTTGCTCACCAGGTCCCAGTTCCGGGGCTTTCTTTTCTTTTCTAGAGCTCTTCAAGCATCTTCAAAGTAAAGTACTCCTGCTCTGGCCGTGCTTCAGGTGCTGACATCCCGTAACAGCTGGTCATGAGAAAAGCTTGCTGCTGCTGGAGGGAAGAAGGCACAGGCCCTGGTACAAATGCGGAGACTTCTGGTTCTCAGAAAGGGGCTTCTTTTGGACTTTCATTGCCATCATCATCATCAACATCATCAATTTAGTATTGGAGCCTGAGCCCAGGACCTCATGAAGACCCGGCTCACTTTATGCCACAGTTATTCAGGAGAGGAATCCAGAGGTGGCGGAGAATCTTAAATCTGCCCCAGGCTGGGCCACCCATCCCAAGTAGCCTATGCCCTTTGCCTCAGAGGCTGAAGGGAGGTCGCAGGGAAGGAGAGGCCAGCCCAGGCCTTGTCTGGAGTCTCCTTGTCTATGCCCTTTCTGACTTACAGACTGGGAACGCCTGCCTCAGGGACCCCACCAGAGACTGGGCTCCTCCGTCTGAGCCGCGGTCACCACAACATGCTGCTTTACTACTCTTCAGGGAGCATCGGAGTCCTCGCTGGCGCAGCTGGCCCTGGTGTCTGAAATCACGGGCCCTGCTTCCTACTCTGAGTAGGCACTGACTCCAGCTCAACCTGCGGTGACAGCACTGTCCCCCTATTTTCTAGTGTTGTTCATCCATTGCTTTTAGAATAAGTGGCCAGGAAACTTGGACGGCTTTCTGTGAGCTTCAGACCTACCCAGAACGGAAAGATGGTTTCACAGAAGGATGGGTAGAGGGATGACTGGATCAGTGGGTGGGTGCCTGGGTGGACGGATGATGGATGGATGGATGGATGGGAGCCTAGGAGGTCGACTGAAGATGGAGGAGGGACCCCTTTCCCCCTTCCCACCCCCTGTCTGCTACCCCGCAGTGCAGCCTCCCCCAGAGCCCTGAAGGAGGGACCGGTGGCGAGGCGGTGGGAGAGGGGAGCTGGGGAAGAAGAGTGGAGAGGAGGAGGGCCTTGGAGGCGAAGAGGAGGGGCGGCGGCTCCCGGGGAGCCTGGGGCTGGCGCGGCTCGGTGGTTGGGGGACCAATGTCGCTGCTGCCGCCTCCTCTTCGCGGGCCGGAGCTGCGTCTCCCGGGCTGAGCCTCAGCCGCAGCCGCAGCCGCAGCCGCAGCCGCAGCCTCAACCCGAGCGGCCGCCGGGCTCGCCCGCCACACGGGAGGATGGGCTGCGGCGGGAGCCGGGCCGACGCCATCGAGCCGCGCTACTACGAGAGCTGGACCCGGGAGACCGAGTCCACCTGGCTCACCTACACCGACTCGGACGCGCTGCCCAGCGCCGCCGCCGCGGACAGCGGCCCCGAGGCCGGCGGCCTGCACGCGGGTGAGTGAGCCCCACGCCCTCGAGGCCCGGCTGCCCGCGACGAGCCGGAGCTGCCGGGAGCCCCGGGCAGCCGGGAACCCCGCGGCGTGCTTGCGGGTGGGGTGACAGACAGAGAGACAGAGCGGGACGCGCAGACTGACCAGCTGGCAGCCCCAAGCCCCGGAGCCAGTCAAGGAGAGCAGCCCTCCAGAGGAGGGCTAGCCCTGTGCATCCTGCCACACAACACTTCTTGGCCTCTGCCTGCCAGTGCCTATGCCTTGGCTCTGGGGATGAGTGAGTGGGCGAGAGGAGAGCCCACTTCGCCCCAAACCTAGCCCTCAGTTCACCACGCGTTTCCCAGCTGACCCGGTGGGCCTTTACCCAGCTTTGGTCCAGCTTCCCCCTGGCCACCTGTGTGCTCAGTCTGGCGATTTTCCACCCACCGGGCCACTTGGCCTCACACCTTTGGTGTATAGACATGGATCTTGAGCAGAATCGTCAAGGTGGAGTCTTTTTGTCTCCTCCTCCATCCCTCCTACTGGGAATGAGCCCCACTGTCGGCCTTCAAAAGCCTGACTTAGTACAATGCATGGCCAGAGCTCACTTTCCAAGCCGTTCTGTTACAGGACAGGACCTACCTCCTATCCCACTGTGCCTGGATGCTTTATATGAAGCAGGGTATAAAAGACTGACTGCAAATGTTCTCGCCTCGGTCATTCCTCGGTCAGCAGCAGCCTGACAAGGATACGCAGAGAACTTTCTGGCTTAGTCACAGGTCAGGATTTGATTTTGAAGAAGACACTCACAAAAACATTGCAGAGGTGGATACAGTTGAATTAGAGTAACCTTTGACCCTAAATGTGATGGTGACATCAAAAGGAAAAACAATCAAACCTCCCCTCTTGTTACATAGATCACTGTTTAGGTTTTTAATGTTCTAACTGTTGCCTGATCCCATTCTGTTGTTACTACTCTAATCTTGGGAATAGACAGATACCTTTGGTAGCAATACTTGCTTTTTTATTTTTATTTTAAAGGACACCAATCTGGCTATATTGTTCAGACTGGCCTTGAGCTGAGTACTCTTCCTTCTCCAGGCTCCCATCCCCACTTCCCGGGAGCTGTGACGATAGGCATAGCCTCCGCTGCTTGCCCGAGGAAACTGTGGTAACGCTGGGTTGATTTTAAAATTGCTTGACTCCCAGGGACCGTAATAGCTGTTACACCAGTGCTGCCGCACTGACGGGTCTATCAGGTTCCCGAGTGGTGTGCTGGCCAAGCGCAGCACAGGAGGGCGGGGCAGGCCCCTGACGGTTCCCACGTTAGCCGTGACAGCATTTCCCCAAGAAAGTGGCACGCATCTCTGCAAGGTCCAAGGCCGGGGTACCACTCTGTGTGTGCGTGTGTGTGTGTGTGTGTGTGTGTGTGTGTGTGTGTGTGTGTATTGTACAGGTGTCAAAGTTGTTGCAGATTGGCTAAATAAGCACACACATGTTCCTCAAGTCTTTTCCAACATTTATTCATTATTCTTGCTGTGTTTTATCATGAAATTGGGTTCCTGCCACATGTGAGGCACAGGACAGGCACACTCATTGGTGGAACAGTTTCCAAACATGGTTGCAGCCTTACAGGCCGGCGGTCCTGAAGGCAGTATCACCCAGAGGAGGGGCTCAGTGCAGTTCAGGGGCAGTGTCTTAGAGGGGCGACATCATTTTATTTTCCCTAGAAATTTCAGTCAGAGTGGAGGGGTACTTCTGCAGACCAGGCGTGAATGAGTTTTGCATGCGTCTAAGTTCTATGGAGTGACTGGTGTTGGGTGGAGACAAAAGAAGGGCTTGTTTCCCGTGGCTTTTACGTCTGGAAATAATCATCTTTAACCAACTTGCATCATCTGAGAAAGTTTTGAATCTGTGGGTTTCTGCTACCCTGGGCCATAGCCAGGATTCCCCATTCTGTTCTTCCTCCAGCCTCCCTGCCTTATGTGTACCTGTGGGAGGTTTTCTACTGAGCACAACCCCTTGGCTTTCCATGGCCATGCTCTATATGAAATCAGAAAGCCAGTCTCTGTACCTAATCATCCTTTTCTGATGGAGACAGCCAAATGTGTGTGTGTGGGGGGGAGCCTGGACTCGACAGTGCACCTTGTAAAATAGCCAGGATGCCTTTGTCCTAGGAGCTAGAGCTGGAGAGGGCCCTGGAGATCACCAGTCCAGGGAAAAGGGACTCTCCCATGAATTGTCCCCATCTGGAAATTCCCTCACCCACTTACCTCCAGGTCCCTCAGTACTCAAGAATCCTTTCTTCCTGGGGTCCTGGCCCCTCTTGCTGAACGTCAAATCAGAGCTACCTTTCTCTTGGCAACCTTAACCTTAGGACTGACTGACTCGTCTCTGTCTTCTGTGCTCAGGGCATGTCAGGTTTCATGAAGGTTTTCTCTAGAAGGCTGAGAATCAACTGATGGTTTTATTCTCACTAAGCTGGCGCTGGGCTAAATCCGCCCTTCAGTTGCCTCAGCTCTTGGTACATTCTCCCTTTCCTCTCTTCCTTGTAGTTTTTCCAACTGGACAACCCGACCTGAATGAGTTTCCTGAGCTCCTCCCAAGTGTCTTTCTGACCCCACAGCTTCTGCTGAAAAATAGAAAGTCACTCCCCAGACATTATTCTGCTCTACGGAAGCTTGTGGTCCAGCCTGAGCATTTCATAGGCTTGCCACACCCCAAATTTGCAACCACGCCCACCAAGAAGCTCCATTCAAGCACAGCTCCTTTGACTCTCACTTCAGCTTTCTCCCACCTTCCAGACTGAGTGTGTGTCATATGACGAGTGTTCTGTCAGCGTTTGTGTAAGAGTTCTGAATTTTACCGTGGGTGGTGGGAGGCTTATTTTTATACCAGTTCCACAACTGAGTGTCTTGTCTGCCCCCCCCCCATCCCTCTCCCTCACAACTGACCCTGAGGCTCAGCTTCCTGTTTTTGGAGGCTGTTTCCAACAACCAAGATTCAGGTTTTAGATTCCATGGTTAGTAGTCGGAGTTGAAGGCTGTAGCAGCTGATCTCCTTCGTCTGCCTGTATTTCCAAACTCTACCGAAGTAGGAAACAGAATCAGTCTGGCATGGATGGAGTCTTATAGAATTGGTTTGCTCGACTGACTTGTTCGTTTTTCTTCTATTGTGTGTGTGGTCTCTCCAAGAAGACTGAGAGTCTGACGTTGCCACAACCCACCTGGTCCCATTGCCATGTCATTGCCAATCTCACCTTAAAGTTACAAGTGTCTAATCTATTTAGAGAGTAAAACACCTCAAAATTTTCTCAATTAGTTCTTTATAGTTTTAAATTAATTGTGCTAGTTTGGGGAGTTTGGGCAAATGATTTGCCCAAATAAGCTAGAGGACAGATAAAGTGAAGATGTTTGGCCTTTCAGAAGATGGCTTCTGAAAGGTCAGGCACTGTAGCTGACACTCTGCAAATCACCTCACTTAATGTGAACAACAAGGATGAGATACGAACTGTTGCCCTTTCGCTGGCATTGGTAAACTTCGTGAAGGCTGGTTTGCATATTTCCTTGATGACTCACATTAGCTCATGACTAAAACCCTTAGGTCTTTCTTTCTAATTTTATTGAAATCCTGTTGTATTGGGAATATTGGGAATATTGTGCTTTCTCTGCTATAAACCCAGTGCTTGGGACAGTCACTGGAATATAGATAGCACTCAGTAATATGGAACAGTGATTCCACCGCAACCTGGGGATCTTGCATTAACACGCTCAGCTTCATAACCCTCATTTAGGGTGTTTCCATTTATTGTTGTAAAAATTCATCTTAGTGGTTCCCAGTTACTGCTTAAGTTTGTTGACTTTCACTCACCTTGATAGCACTTTTAGCAGAACATTTGAGGCCTTTGTTTCCCCATGTTTATAGACTGAAGAAAGATGTTTATTAGTTCTTCTGTTCATTCATGTAGACATTCAGCACAGAGCTATGTAAGCCATGCACCATGGTCCACCATGCAGGAGAACTTTAAGGGCAGTTCGTTCTGCCCAGGGAATGACTGTGTATACAGACCACAGAAGTGCCAAGGAACCTGAAGAAGAGTTGCTCCCAAGGCCCCTTCCAAGAGGGAAGGTGGAGACAGGGAGCCTGGCTCCCCTGATATATGTCCTGAGAGGGGCAGTCCTGGGGAGAACCCCCAACCTGGGTCTTCCTGTGCCCGAAACCACCCACCCCAGCCCCAGCTCCTTCTACACTCCTGTTACTACTGGTGTTTCTGTCTTAAAGTAATGATTGACACCTTCAAGGGTGATGGGTAGGCTAGGTAAAGGAGTGCATGGCTGAGCTGGGTCCTAGAGGCGCTCTCCTGAAAGAATAACCTAAAAAGTTCATGTGTTGCTTTTTTCCTGTAGACCCCAGAGAAAAAGTTATTTCTCCTCATCAGTTCCATCTACTCATCTTTTTCAGGTTCTTGCCTACTTAGTTGTTGTATAATAAGATAACATTCCCTTTTGCTAAAAACATGGCTTTTAAAAAAATCATCTTTTTAAAATAATTTATTTTATTTCATGTTATGTGCATTAATGTGAAGGTGTCAGATCCCTTGGAATTGGGGTTACAGAGTTAGGAGCTGCCATGTGGGTGCTGGGAATTGAACCCGGATCCTTTGGAAAGGAAGATAGTACTCTTAACCATTGAACCATCTCTCTAGCCCAACACATGGCTTTTATTTTATTTTCCTTTTCATTGTTGTGCATGTGAAAGCATGAATGATAGGTGTGGGCATGCATTCCACAGATGTCAGAGGACAACTTCGTGCAGCCATTTCTCTCCTTTCCCCTTTCTGTGAGTTCCCAGGATTAATCTCAGGTTTGCATGGCAAATGCCTTTATCCACTGAACCATCTCAGCAGCAAAATCTTCTTGTTATAAGAGATTTGTTTGTGTGCTTGTTTTGTAAACGTTACTCCATGAATCAGATGATAATAAACCCAAACTGTTTATATATTTTTAGGAAGTGCTGCATTTTCAC